CTGGGGGAGCGGCGTGCGGGGGTGCGGTAGCCGTGCTGGGGTGCGGTGGCTGCGGGGGTGCGGTAGCCGTGCTGGGGGTGCGGTGGCTGCGGGGGTGCGGGGCTGGGGGAGCGCCGCTCCGCACCGCACCGCCCCGCGGCGCTCCGCCAGAGCCGGCTCCGCACAGAGCGCAGCGCGGAGAGCGAGGTAAGATGCTTTTCGGTCTCGCTAAATCCCAGCCGCAGCCACAATAGAGAGCGGTATTTACATGGCGTGCGGGGACTAGAATATAAATATGCAGGGAAAGCCTTTAGCAGAAGAGATTTAAGTCCGTATTTGTCTTTGTTTTTACCCTGGATGGGCTCGTCTGAATGCAAATGTGAGGCAGAGCCGGGAGATCTATTGTTGAAATGCTTTACGATTCTCAGCCTCTCTGTTTGCATTTAAATCCGCGATGACTACTTCAGGCTGGGGGCTTTGTGTGTCGGGGGCTTGGGGACAGGAACGCGGGATCCGTGTGTGGTGATTGCCAGCGCTCACATTAAATATTGAAAATGCAAGGAGGCAACTTCAGAAGGTCTCCAAAAGGTGCTCTGCACCCATGTCTTCGGGGGGCTGGTGGGGTTAGTGCTTGCTCTGTGTGGCTGCCCGGCAGGGCTGCCAGGGGTTCCTCTCCCCCCCGCAGGACACCTCCTTTGCTGAGGAGCCCCAGGTGGTGTTTGTTGGTTTTGCTTTTTTGGGGGGGGTTTTTTTGGTTGTTTTTTGTTTTTTTTTTTTTATTTGACAGAAACAGGGCACAGAAGGAGGTTGTTTGAGCGCCCTGTTTGCTGGGGTGACCCCCCTCCCCTCTGTCTCTGAGCAAGAGAGCAGCTTATCTCTGCCAGGGAGGCAGCACAATGTCTGCTCACCAGGCAGAGGCAGAGCATTTCTCTTTATCCTGCTCGTCTCCGCGGGCAGAGCGCGGTGTGACCGGTGTGTGAGCCCCAACGAGCTGGTGGGGGCTGCACGGGCACGTCGCCTGCATCCCCGGTGTAGGGAGGACGTGAGATGGATCCTGCCCAGGTACTGCCTTATTTCCTCATCTCCTGCACAGCTCCGCTGGTTTATTTAAAACCGCTTGTTGTTTTAGTAGCACAAGGGACATAATATCTGTCCACACGGCACGATTTATTGGGGGTTGGAAACACGCCAAGGAGTCTAAATTCAGATTCAACAAGAAGCGTGATCCCAGCCAGCAGGCTGGCTCTCTGCATACACCAGCTTTAACAGATAATTTCATTCTCCCTCAGCTGCTGATTCCTCTCAAAGGGCAGCTCACAACAACCATAGCAGCAAACCTGCTTTTTTTTTCTTTGCTCATGTTTGTTTTGTCATCCTTCCTCCCTCCTCATCCCTGAGCACGGTAGCGGGGTCCTGGGGGCTGCTCAGAGTCCCCCTGCTGCTGTTGGCTGTTGTGTACCTGAAGTCAGATGCTCTGGTTGTCGTTAGCGGCTGCTGTGGAAACAGGAACAGGACTTCAGCAGCAACAGTAGGAAGAGACATTTTTTCCAGGAGCTAAAAACAGCTCATTCTCCCCAGACCTCTTTCCAA